TCCCCTTTTTTCCTGCCCCCCTTTTCCTTTCTCCCCTTTTCCCTTGCCCTTTTTATTCCTATTTTATTCCTATTTCACATTTCATTTCTCTCTGTCCACTGAATTTCCTCTTTGTCACCAAATTATTAACCATTAAGGTCACAAGTTTTTCCACGTCACACCAACTATTACGATGGGGAGTTTTTTTTTTCCCATGCTTTGGAATTCTTGTGGATATTTGGGACCCTTTGGGCACCCCAGGCCGTGTTTTGTCCCCCCTCAGGAGGCTCTGGCCGTTCATCGCCCCGATTTCATCTCCCGCTCCGGGGAGCGAGTGAAGCACCTCAAGCTGGTGATGGAGGAGAGGAGGATCCAGAGGGGGCTGCAATCCCAGCGGGAAGAGCTGGGGAATTCCCTCGGGAAGAGAAAGGGCTGCAGGAGTTCCACTCACCTGCTGGCCGACAGAGGTACCTTTCAATTCCTTAAATTAATTTAGTTAATTCCATTTTTCATTTTATTTTTTTTTGTTCATTTTCATTCATTTAATGAGATTTTAATTCATTCCTTTGGTTTTTAATTCTAAATTTTGAATTCATTTTACCTCATTAAAGAATTTTGAGTTAATCAATTAAGTTTTTAATTTTAAATTTCATCTTAATTCATTAATTTAATGAAATTTTTAACAGATTCAATTTTTAACTTTAAATTCCAATTCATTTTAATTCATTAATTTAATGAAATTTTAATTCATTTATTCAATTTTAATTCTAACTTTGAATTCATTTTACCTCATTAATGAATTTTAAATTAATTAATTTCTAAACTTGAAATTTCAATTAATTTTAATTAATTCATTCATTTTTAATTCTTTTGAACCCTAATGAGTTTTTAATTAATTCAGTTTTTAATTCTAAATTTGAATTATTTTACCTCATTAATGAATTTAAAGTTCATTAATTCAGTTTATAGTTTTAAATTTCAATTCAATTCATTAATTTAACAAAATTTTAACTCATTCAATCTTTACATTTCAATTAGTTTCAATTCATTAATTCAATTTTAATTCATCAATTCAATTTTGATTCATTTGAACTCTAATGAATTTTTAATTAATTCAGTTTTTAATTCTAAATTTGAATTCATCTTGTCTCATTAACAAATTTTAAATATATTATTTCAGATTTTTATTTTAAAGTTCAATTCATTTTCATTCATTAATGTAATGAAATTTTAACTCATTAATTCAATTTTATTTCTAAATTTGAATTCATTTGAACTCTAAAGAATTTTTATTTTATTTTAATTATAAATTTGAATTTATTTTAATTCAATGAAATTTTAATTCAATAATTCAGTTTTTCATTTCAGCTTTTATTGCTTTTAATTCAGTAGTGTAGTGGAATTTTAATTCATCAATTGAGTTTTAAATTCCAATTCACTATAATTCATTAATTTAATGAAATTTTAATTGATTCATTGTCAACTTTTAATTTTAAATTTCATGTAATTTCCAGCCATTAATTCAAGCTTTAATTTTAAATTTTAATTCCCGTTGAGTCATTAATTGAATGAATTCCCACACTGTACTTGCTGTGTGTGTTTTTAATAGAAATGCTGCAATGATTTAACTTCACTCTTGATAAAGCCCTTAGAAAAAAATCTTTATAGAGAGCTTTTTGTGAAGACTTTTTATAAAGAGTTTGAACAAAGGATGTTTTTTTAGAAAGACTTCTATAAAACTTATAAGTCTTGGTGATCAGTGAACTTGTTCATCGTTCCCTTCACTTGGAATTTTCCATGTAGGTTTTCCAGTGAGGGAAAAAAGAAGAGCAATTCCAAGGAGTGAAATGGTCCAAAGGTCTAAAAGGTAAATTGAAGGGGATTGAATTCCAGGGGGATCAGTGCCCTGGGGTGGGAAAAGGGGATGAACTGGGTGTGAAAAGAAATCAGTGAGATCCCACTTGGAATAATAATCCATCCAGGAGGACATGGAAACTGTTGGAGCAAGTTGATTAAAGGGACTGGAGCACCTTCCCTGTGGAGACAGGCTGGGAATGCTGGGAATGTTCAGCTGGAGAGGAGAACTTCCAGCACCTTCCAGTGTGTATGAAGGGGCTCCAAGGAATCTGGAGAGAGACCCTTCCTCGGGAAATGTAGGGACTGGACAAGTGGGAATGGCTTCAGACTGAGAGAGGGGAAATTTAGGATGGATACTGGGAGGGAATTCTTCCCTGGGAGGGTGGGGAGGGACTGGAATGGAATTCCCAGAGAAGCTGTGTCTGTCCCTGGATCCCTGGAAGTGTCCAAGGCCAGGTTGGAGCAAGCTGGGCTGGTGGAAGGTGTCCCTGCCCATGGCAGGGGGTGGAACTGCATAATCTTTATGGTCCCTTCCAACCCAAACTCTTCCATGATTCCATGATTAAAAGAACATTTGGGAAAGGTTCATCAGCAGCACCACATTACTGAAAACACTGCAGTTTGGAAAAGCTGCTTAACGAGGCTCAGTCAGGTTATTCCTGTGATAAAATCTTGCCACGGATGAATGGGCCCATCACTGGGAATCAGCACAACCAGTCGGGAAAATCCCCTGGAATTATTCTGTAGGGAAGATATCAAGGCTCTACCTCTTTCAGCTGGGTGCTCGTGTCAGCTGCCTGGTCATTTTAATCTTACAAATAATGCTTTTGGGATGTGCTGCTTGTAAGAAAAAGACTTTATGGGATGCGGGAATGTCCTGTCTCACCTCTCTGTGTTCCACATTTTCCCTGGGAAACCCCCCAAATAGATTTTTCAGGGATGTGCTTGGCCAGGAGCCTTTAACAGAAAGGGAGCAGAAAACAGAGGATGGTTTGTTTGTTTGTTTGTTTGTTTGTTTGTTTTTTTAATATCACTAAGTTCCAAATCACTATTTAGGGCTTTTTTTTTTTTTTTTTCTTCCTTTCAGGATCTATGAGCAGCTTCCAGAGGTGAAGAAGAAGAGGGAGGAGGAGAAGAGAAGGCTGGAATACAACTCGTACCGCCTGAAAGCACAGCTCTATAAAACAGTGGGTGTTTTGCTCCAGGACGTTCCAGAATGTTCTTCCATGAACTCACAAATACAGAGGAATGTTTGCTAAAAGTGTGGGAATCCTGTGGTATTGTTTGGGAATTCTAGGGGGTTGAGGCTGTACTGGGATTTAATCAGGGTCAAAATGGAGGTAAAATTTAGGTAAAATCCTAAAATAAGCAGAGGGGCCCCGATTGTCCCCTCAGAGAAGGGCATCTCCAAAAGTGACCATCCATGAGCTTTATCTTTCTCTTCATGAGACTGATCATGGAATCGTGGAATGGTTTGTGTTGGAAGGACCTTTAAGGTCATCTCATTCCCACCCCCTGCCATGGGCAGGGACACCTTCCATACCCCAGATTGCTCCAACCTGGCCTTGGACACTTCCAGGGATCCAGGGGCAGCCACAGCTTCTCTGGGAATTCCATTATTCCAGTCCTTCCCCACCCTCCCAGGGAAGAATTCCTTCCCAATACCCAACCTAAATTTCCCCTCTCCCATTCTGAATCCATTCCTCCTTGTCCTGTCCCTCCATCCCTTGTCCAGAGTCTCTCTCTGTGTTCCTTGTCGCTCCTTCAGGTCCTGGAAGGCCACAATTAGGTCACCTCAGAGCCTTTGCTTTTCCAGGCTGAGCAATCCCAATTCTCCCAATGTTTCCTCACAGCAGAGCTGCTCCATCCCTGTAATCTGGACTCCTGTGGATTCACTCCAGCACCTCCATGTCCTTCCCGTGCTGGGGACTCAAAAGATGAGGAACAACAAACACTTTGTAGTACAAACACTGGGGGTTTTTAACCTGACTTACTTCACTTTTAGCATTGCAGCTCTTTCCTGGCTGAGTTAGTCCAGCCAGAGCTGGAATATTAGTTAGTCCAGCCACAGCTGGAATAATAATTTTATTGGGAATGCCAGTAGTTGGATTTTAAAAGTCAGGGCTTGTAACTCAGTGTGTTATCCAGAACATTTTCCCGGTGTGATTGTGAGGATTCTCCACCAGAAGTGCCTGGGTTTGATGCTGTATTTTTGCAGGGTATTTTCAGGACAGTTGTTTTTTTTTTTCCTTCCAGCAGTCTGAGAATTCCAGGTGCTGGTACAGTAAAGTTTGAGGAGTTCAATGAATGCTGGAAGTCACTGACTTGGAATAGCAGACTCAGCTGGAAGCAGGGAGGGAATAGGATCAGAAGTTTTGGATATCAATGTGGTTTTGATTGGAAGATGCTGATTCACTGTGGTGAATAACTGGAATATTTTACTCTTCCTTGCTGATGCAGAAGAGCTGCCATGAGTAGCTGCAGATACAGGGAATGCTTTGTTTGGAATGTGGTTGATGTGTTGCTGAGAGCATCAGTTCCATGCAGATAAAGAACCACAGATTTTGTGGAATGACTCCAAAAAGGAGGCAGGGAATTAGGAGGAGAAAAGAGCCGGTGGAAAAGCTACACTCCAAATGTGTGTGATCTGGGGTTTTGGGGGGATTTAGGGATCCACTGTGCCCAAAGTGTGGTGTGAGGGTCTCTCTGGGAATGTGGGACAGCAGGTCCAGTGACATGAGCTGTCCCTAAAATCTGAGAATCATGGAATCACTAAGGTTGGAAAAGGCTTCTGAGCTCATCAAGTCCAGCCATTCCCCCAGCACTGCCAAGGCCACCACTGACCGTGTTCCCCAGTGCCACATCCACATGTTTTTGGGACACTTCCAGGGATGGGGACTCCACCCCTGCCCTGGGCAGCTGGGCCAGTGCACAGCTCAGGGTTGCACAGGCATTCCTAATTTCTGAAATTGTGAA